CCAGATAAATTTCACTGGAACTTTAAAGGAAACGTTTGCACTGCCATATCGATGAGAGAGGGCAAATAAATGTGTTGTACATAATTACAGTCTCTATCGTCAAAATAAACATTGATTTTTTTTAAAAGGCTAAACTGTTTTTAGCTTCTTTTTTCATAAAAAGTTGCTTCTGTGTACTTTTACTTGATACAAAGTAAGAAGATATCACTCTGTATGAAGTTGTTAGTCTAAAAAGTTATTTTGGGTTTAAATTAATGAACAGAACGGAGTCTATGATGTGGTAATTAATTAACCTAATTAAGATCAATGGAAAGACACCTGAAACTAATCCATAACATGCAGAGGTATTGGTTTATGTTGGAGAGCTGATAATGCTGAGGAAAAATACACATTGGCCTTGTAAATTGCTGTAATGCCCTTCTGAATGATGTGTTTTCCTAAGCCTGTCTTGATGAATGTCATTTTGACACATATTTGTCAGTTTTGCACTACATTCTTAATTACTGATGCCAGGGTGTTAATTTTCTCTCCTGTACATAATCTAATAGCAGTTTTGTTTTTGGCCAGCTTGCATAGAATTTTTTGCCCAGACAAAAATTTGATCGAACACTTATTAGAAGAAGAAAAGGTTATGAATATTTTTCTTTGCCAAGAAGTACCCTTTGAGAACTTGGTAAATACAAATACAGATACAAATATTCATGAATACTCTGCGTGTACATGTACATGTACATGCAAGTTAATTCAGTGCTTACTAGAGCTTGTCCACTAAGTCCAATGGATATGCACGTCTTATCACAGTGTATTTGCCATGTGCTCATACATGCTTATCTAATTAAGTACTGCTGAGTCTGCCTCAATACCTGGGCTCACTTTTATTGTATGAGTAAATTTATAGCCATGTACTTAACATATTCTATTGAATATGAAATATTTTAGTAAAATATTTTTTCTCCGTAATATTATCATTGATTTGCTTTTGCTAAAATTATTAAGCTGTATGGCTAAAAGAAATTTTCATTTAGAGCTTGGATGATTATAGGCATTCTACTGTCCAAATTTTGAGTAAAACAAAATAACTATGAACAATTACAGGAAAAATGATACAACACAATTTTCAACTCATGTTGCAGAGAATTGGTAAATCGCAGTCATTATGCTATCACATGTACCGGTTAACATTTCAGCTTACAGATAGAAGAAGAGAAATACAGAGGAAAGGGACTTAAACCACAGTTATAATTTGGAAACCTTACTCAAAGATTTATATGGTCTGAAAACTGCATGCTACACAGCATCCACTGATTTTGCCCCATCTGTTAGTGGTGACCATATCGGACTGACCTGATTGAGGAGAAGCTTTATACTGGACAAAACAGTCCACGGGGGACAGGTGAGCATTTGGCTGCAATCACTTAAGTTTTCACAAAAATTGTTCTAGTCATTGCTTCTGTATTTATTGCACCCCCCCGAGGATAATTAAATTCAGGAAGGGGGGGGGGGGGGGTAGCTCAGAACCTGGTGATATCTGGCATTTAAGTGACGACAGTTTGACTGTTATTATAGGTTGAATTGTTTTGATCTGAACTCATTTCATTGTGTTATACAATGCAGTAATTGGGTCAAGTCAGGGCCAAATTATTTTATGTTAAGTCAACCTTGGAAAAATGTCAATGGCATGTTATAATTTATGAATAAGATTCATATTTATAGGACCCATAAGATATTGCTTTCATGTTAATTTTTAAAATTGTTTAAAGTATTAGTATATATGTAATAATTCATTTTTACCTTTTCTTTTTTTATTGGGAGGGGGTATTAAAACAATATAGTTGGCATTGGTTAAATTTTTCTGTTCAGAATTCATGGAAAAATTGATAAGTAATTCTCAGAACTAAATCAGTTCCATAGAATTACCAGTGCCCTGCAGTGCATCTGTGTTATTTTTCAAAGCAACAAGACCAATCCTATTGATACTGAGCTCACTTACAAATTTCTTGTTTGTTTGAAAAGATATTTATGAAGATTAAACGTAATCACCCAGATTTTTACAGGCATATTAAATCAGTGAAGAATTGGCAAAATGAGATAATATTCATTTCATTGAGCCAGAATGTTTGTAGCTATTGACAAAACATATAAATAATGGGATGGGTGAATTGTTTAGTTCCTTTTTCAATTCTATATTGATCTATGGATCTCCTTACACTTTAATCTCTCAATTAAGATATTAGTTACATAGTTTTATAGTTTTGTCTTCTTTTTTCTTTCCAAAATTTTTTTTATTAGAGTCAGACTGTAGAATATAATCAAAAGTTACATTTCATTTATCTCAGCAAAAATCTAGTCATCATATCCTCCATTACAGCCTAAACCAATTAGGGAAAAGTAATAAATTCTTTCCGCATCTACCTCTGCTCCTCTGTTTCTGATTAGGGTCAGACGTAATGGCTCTAAGTCTCTTCTCCATAATAAATGAAGAAAGCTTGATTGTAGACAAATACCCACTGAAGCTATGATGAAATACATTTACAGATATCTACACTATACACTATCTGTAATACTCTTAATGCAGCTTAGGGCTTTATTCTTGATTTCAAAACATGCACGTGCACTGTTACTAGTACAGTACATGTATGTACATTTTTGCGGCATGCATGTTCAAGTTTGCAGTGTGGAGTTTGCAGGAAAATTTTGAATTGCTGCTAATTTGCAGCAAATTTCCAAGAACATCTTGAGTTTGCAATAGGTTTGCAAAAGATCTTTATATTATTGCAATTTTGCTGCAAATTTGCAAGAAGCCCTTTATTTGCAAAAAAGTTTGTAGTGAGTTTGCGAGAAAGTATTCATGTTCTTCCAAATTTGCAAAAGAGTTTGCGACAGGCCTGAAATTTTATAGATATGCCACAACGGGATTTGAATTAAAATTTCTACAGATAATGATGATGATTATATATTTATTTGTGTCAGATAAAAAGAGTAAAGACCATTACAAAATGGGTTTAAGGTTGGAAATGGGAAAAGGGAAATATAGAAAATTCTTAAAAATTCTGAGAATTTTGAAATTTTATAGATTTTTGATCTACTAGTACATGAACCATTTGAATAAATTCTCTTTTCACAGATGGGCAATTTTGATTTAGATAAGTATTTTACTGCCAGCTATCTTATTTAGTTAATCAATATTGTTTTTGTTTAATCACATGTATTCTTATATAATTAATAGTCTCAAACCAATCATCAGTTAATCCAGCTCTGTGATTGTAATCAATTAAGGTAAAACCAGTGTTATGCAGTAAACCTATCTGTTAACTGCTGGCATGCTGTGATAAGCCTTGGATTTACTGTTTAAGTCTGTGGAAAATCCTCTGAGACTCCAAGAGATGATCCCCTATTATTGCTCAACATTAATACACCTTAGTTGTTATTCCAAACACATTAAGGCTCACATTAAGACCACGTTAAGCTTTTTGTGATGTGGTACTCAGTACTGAGATTATGACTACATGTGCACCAGACTAAACATGTACATGTACCAGTACAATATCCTTCTATTAAAAAAAACTTGAGATCATTATCCATGAATATGTAAGTAACGGAAATGAAAAGGGGACTGATATCAGATAAAGGAGATGGACAATATTTTATCACTAATTCTTGTTCTTGGATAACAAAAAATTAGAGTCATAAAGCTTTTTCACATCTTAGGCTCCATTCAGAACAGTGGACTAACTAGTCCGAGGGTCAAATATGGCAACCCACTACAAAGCTTGCCGTCTAATCTGCTAATAGACACTGAACAGCTATTCCTTGGGGAAGTATTCAAGTTGATTGGCCATATTTGACCCTCGGACTAGTTAGTTAGTCCCCTATTCTGAATTGGGCCTTAGTGATACAGCTGTAAGGGAATGTTTTGAGATATTAATAGCCTGACTGTTATGTAAGAGTGTCATCTAAATAGATCCCCTACACACTTGATGGCCTATTAGTTATTATTTTTCTGCACAAACTGCAGCAAACACTTACAAAAGGGAGTAAACTTCCCTGTAGCAAAAAAAAAAAAAAAAAAAAAAAAATTGCACAACCTCTCAAAACATATCAGTATAGCTGAATTATTATTTTCATGAATATTTAAAGGATTAGCATGGGGTTTAGTATTATGTAAATTTGGCCAATCCTCTCTACTTCCAGTTTTTTAAATCAATTTAAAAGAATCTCACAAATAGACCAAAACATATGTTTATTCACCTGGGTTTATGAGCAATCTTCTCTTTAAATTTTTTTTCATGCAAATTAATTGAGCTCTACAAGGGGAAAAAAATTAACACAAAATTTATCTTCCATAACAGTTCATTACGTTGTTTTATACCAATGTACATGTACATTACTACGGTGTGTAGGCTTCAATTATAACTTTCCACTGGGGCGTGTGTGCCACAAGGATTTATTGGTATTTGTGAAAAATTAATCAAGGTTCATGGGATATGGGAGTTAAATGAACAAGTGATGGATTGTTTGCTCATCATAAAATATTCATTGAACAGCCGTATTGTTTCCGACTGCCTCTTGTTAAATTGGGAGAGAATAGCGTGGATGCTATTCTAAGAGCGGACACCATTGCTGGGGGGTTTATATCTCATTCAAAGGAATACTATAGGAATGCTGCAGTAAAGTTTTCTTTGCCCTTGTCTCTAACATTTCAATGTATTGGATTGCAGAGGCCTGTTAAAAAGAACAACTCAAGTTGAAAATAGACCATACTCAAGAATGCAATATAGATCTTAAAACTAAATTGCCAGCCCATGTGCAGGAGGAGCTGTGTGTTTGGGGGGGGGGGGGGGGAATAGAAAGAATAACCCTTTTCCATGGAAAAGATCCACTCTGAATCACATTTTTATCTATAGGTTCTTTGCCAATTCTCAAGTTTGGTCAACAAAGGAGGGAAAATTATCCACTTTTACAGATAAAATATTCTCCTAATTGACATTGCTGGCTATGGGTTACAATGCCTGAGTTACTGCAGTGGGTGTGGTGAGAAATGAAACATTTCTGAAACATCAAAAGGTCTAAATATTCATACCCATTCATATGCAACACTAGTATCTGAATGCCAATTTATAAGCTTCATCAGGATCTACATAAAAGAAAAGCTGGTCCTCTTCATATTGCATAATTGACTCAGTGTGTCTATTTCAGGAAAAAATTTGGTATTAATTGGCAATATTTTGTCAAAATGTCCCCACAGATCAATGAGATGTCAAGGTATATTTTATCTCAATCTAATAAACATTGATTTTTGGAGGTCTTAATAAATGTCATGCCCTGGGCTATTTGCAGAAAATGAACAATGGAATGTAAGAAATAAGAAATTTATGGAAACCAAAACTTTTTTTGGAAAATAGGAATAATTTTTAGTCCTGCAGTCACAACAACCCCCCTTTGAATAACTTTCTACAGAGGCTGATTGCATTAATTTGAATAAATAAGATGTTGATATGGAAGTTAGAAACAATTGAGAAAATTGTTGAAATTGCCAGAAAACTGATGTGACCTGCATTCTCAAAATCTGTACTTCAATATTATCATATTAAGGAATAGAAATTCAATGAACTGAGTATTTCAACATAGATATAGATAAGAATCTCTTGGAAAATTGAAACAATACTAAGCAGATGTAAATATTTGAATAGGCAAAAGCTTAATAGGCCCAAACCCAGGGGACAGCCTTTAGGGTGGGGAGGGGGAGGTTGAATGAACAGCCCTTTTAGGAAAAGGTCTGCTTTAATTAGTTAAAATTTTATCTAGGTACATGAAGATTTTATGGTAAAAGATCCAATTTTTCAGGAAGAGACCCCCTCCCTTTGAAATTGCAAGCTCAGGGCCTGTGGTGTTTTATATTACAATTAATACAAGTGTTCTCATATTACACAATATCATAAATTTTTGAGTATCGTTACCCTCTGCATTGGTGGGTGCATGTAACTTGCTACAACAATGAAATAAAATTAAAACAATTAACAATGTTATTCCACAATTTACCATTTTATATAACAGAACAATGATAGAACACTTTAAATTATGTGCTCCAAATTTTCAGTGTTTTTCAATAGCCAATTTTTTATGTAAGGCCATGTAGTTTACAGAAGACGTTATGTGAGGTATTGGAAATCTTTAACTTAGTATTGACTGTTAAGCCAGACATGTAGAGTACAGGAATTAAATCTCTTCTGCTGTTTTAATACCATTATTCTAGGCCAACAGATTATAATTCTGCCATTTATGGCAACTTAAGATCGCATTCAAAACAAGTTGAGCCAGGCTTTACAAATCCTGGGGACTAAATATGGCGGACGTACATGAAAGAAAAACTGCCTAATCTTTTAATAGTCTCTCCGCCTCTCACACGCCTCCCCACACGTCGTCCCTGCGGGGGGACAGTCATTAAATCTCGGCTCCATTGGGACGACACATGGGGAGGCGTGTGAGAGGCGGAGAGACTATTAAAAGATTAGGCGGTTTTTCTTTCATGTACGTCCGCCATATTTAGTNGCCTAATCTTTTAATAGTCTCTCCGCCTCTCACACGCCTCCCCACACGTCGTCCCTGCGGGGGGACAGTCATTAAATCTCGGCTCCATTGGGACGACACATGGGGAGGCGTGTGAGAGGCGGAGAGACTATTAAAAGATTAGGCGGTTTTTCTTTCATGTACGTCCGCCATATTTAGTCCCCAGGATTTGTAAAGCCTGGCTCAACTCGTTGTGAATGCGATCTAAGAAAACCAAATTGTGCTGACTAGAAGTATATATAGTGTGTGGATACGTGCATGCATGTGGGTATATATGTGTCTGTGTCTTTACACGCATGAGCAATATGCACATGATGCAAAGTGCGTAGCCTTGCAAACTTTGTCGAAATGTGCAGATCTATTGTTTACATTATTTGTAGTTTACAATAAATAAAATCTATTTAAAACAAAGGGAAGGGTTGATAAAAATGGGTTACGTATATCTGCAAAAAACACTGGATGTAGATTTTGCAACACAGAATTTGTGTAAGCATGTGTGTATGATGTGTTTATGCAATACATGTTTTACATGTTAACAACAAGAAAAAAATAGTTCTGTATTTAATAAATCTAAGGTATACATTTTTAACTCCAGGAAAATATCAAGTGAATTAAGTTACATGTGTGAAAGATGCTGGAAGAAAGACACATAAGAGCAGTCTATTTGATTTAAAATCTTAGAAAAGTTCAAAGGACCCAAAGGAAAAAGCTCAGATTTCAAATGAATTTTAGACATACACACATGTACATATGATTAAAGTCTGTGATCAAAAGTTTATTTTTATGTTATCCTATTTTTTTTAAAAGCTAAAAAACAACAGAAAAATGGGAAAATGTACTGGTGTTTTAGTAAGGGTTGTTGCAGAAGCTAAAAGTGGTTAAATGCCATTAACTTGGTTCTGACATGATAAGAAAAATTTACAGCAGTACAAATTAATTTCTTTTAAAGTTAGATAACTTGCATTGCAAGCAATGTTATATAGTTTTATTACTCGGGATATTGCATAGATTTTCCCACCGATAAACAACCAGGCATTTATGATATCTATAGCATTAGGTACTAGAATTGGTTGTTGTACAGTACTAGCTTTTATGACACTACCACTGCATATCCTCATAGTGTTCAAATCTCAGTCACTTCACAGCACTCAGGCCACTGTTGTATTGTGTGAAGCATGGAGAAGTACGTCATATCAACAAAGGACGCAACTGAGAGTCAGTCGGTTTCATAGGGCACCTGGGACCACTCCGAGAAAGTTAGCTTATCCCAAGGGAGCCACTGGTAAATGGAAAATCAATGAACAGAGTTTTGAACTGCTTGCAGGGATGGGAGTTAAGCACGTTGATGAAGTGGTATTTAACTTGTATAGTGGCCTATTTATGTGGTTATAAAACTGTGGTTATAGTCTTGAGCCTGGTGAATTAACACCTGTGTAAATCAATTTCTTAAAGAAAGTGGTAGGATGTTTTCATTTGTGTTAACTGATAAAGGGTGTTTGAATAAAAGCGTGTATGGAGTGTAAATACTGTAAATTTCCTATACTGTTATTGACTTTTTTTATATTTTCATTTTGTTCTTATGTGATTATACATATAACAGTTGTTATATTTGTGATATATTACATGTACCTTTCATGCACAAGTATGTACCTTGCAACTTTCATCAAACCGAAAAAAGAACTAAATTCATTGTTTTTTCCAAGGATTTTGGTTGCAAAAATAAATATTTCAATTATTTAAAAATTCAGAAACATCTGGAAACTTTATTCTAGCTTTATTTAGATGAAGAGAGCAAATTGATAGGATGTGTATATACTGTGTATCACTTATGAGTTATTTAAAAAAATGGATGTAAATTTATATTAGCTGGAGTGCTGTGAATGCAATGGCACAAATGGCAATGGTGATCTGACAAAGTATATGTGAACTAGTTTGTAATCTGTCACTGCATGACCAGAAATACTGGTGCTTGTGGACATTGTCATTTCCATTTCAACTTTATACATCTACAGGTATTGATATAATTAAAAATTTTGCATGTAAATTGAAAAAGATTATCTTACCAGCTCCTGGACTATTTTTACCTACATGTATTTGTAATATTTTGTCGACCTGAATGAGTGGAATTAACACCTGTCTACTTCTTTATCTTCAAACCCAATGCACCTTTCACACTAATTAATCAATGACTTTAAAAGAGAACACAAGCCATGTCATGAACTAATCGTGTATGAAGGAAACACAGAATAAATATTTGCCTCCATGTCTGTCTGTAATACCTGTCTGGCTTGATTCACAACAGAACTGGAGACCAAAGGGTTTTTTCTTCACTTCAAATTAAAAAAGTATAGCCATTGGTCTGATAGTTTACATGTAGTTACATGTAGTAGCTATTTCTTTCCTTTTATTTTCAGTTTAATTTGTTTTTCAAGCCTATAGCCAGCAATTTAAAAGGAGAATTTTCTTTTTCTGAAAAATGGGTCTAAATTTACCATGAAACATTTGTGTTCCTAGGCCAAATTTTACCCATAATGGACATTTTTCCAACAAAAAGGGTGGTATGTTCAAATCTCCCAACCCCCCTTGCTACGGGTTTGTTTTAAAACAAGTGTTACTAATTTTCTGGGGTCAACATACTGGTAAGCTAAATACTACTAGTATTTAGTTATAAATTCAGACCAACTTCTAATCAAAAGTTAA